TGTTTAGCCTTTCTCTGTTTACATGCATGCAAAAGCAAGGTCATTACCGCAGGTGCAGGCCTATGCGCAGATGCGCGAGAACTTGTGGCACTTGCGATGGCTTAGGAGCAGATATATTTCCGCAGGTGCGATCCTTTGGCTGGGAAATGAAGGCTGCAAGTGTGGGATTTGACTCGCAAATGCAAAAGCGCAGATGCACAATTTCAGTCCGCTAAAGCAGAAGTGCTGAGCAAAACATATATTTCGGGGTTCAACATTTTTGTTCATTTTTAGAGTTTTTGACCTCGGTATTGGGCGATTTCAGAGGGATTCTTCATGAGTTTGAGTTGGGTAAGTATTCTTTTTCCAGAATTAGTTATAATTCACGATTTCATACTTATTTACATCATTAATTAGTGAATTGAATGAAAGAAAATGAGATTTTTGTAAAAAATTTCAAAATTTCAAAATTTCAAAATGAGTATTTGAAGGGCGATTCAATATCGGAATTAAATAATTTTTGTATGGTTAAACTCGTATTGGAACGGGTGTTCGGATTTCATAAATTTTTATCTAGATCTAGGGTGCGGGCCCCACATTGACTTTCGTTGACTTTTTCGAAAATAATATAATTTAAACCTCTTTCGAATTGTGGGGAGTTTCTAAAGTTTAATTTGAATTGTTGGCCAATAAATTTCTAGATTTGGTTGGTTTGAAGGCTTTTTTGAAAGGAAAAGTCGTGGTCGAGTGATTGCTTGAGTTGCGAAGTAAGGTAAGTGTCGTGGTTAACCTTGACTTGAGGGAATATGACTTGTTTGTCTATTTGCTACGTGATTAAATGTATAGGTACAACGTATATGTGAGGTGACGAGTACTTATGCATTGTAGTTGAGTTAAAGCATGCGAGTTGAACTTGTTCCTTTGTGATTTATTTCCTATTTAATTAGGATATCTATGCCTAAGTTAGGTTATTATTTATTTGATCATTCTTTCTGTATTTATTGCCTATTTAATAATTGTTGAATAATTTGGAAGTTGAGATTTGTACCCTGGTATCATATTGAACGATAAATATAAATCCCCGCATTTAAATTATTTTTTTTCGAATTTATATTATCCTTTCTCCATAGTAAGGAAGAGTGTAAAAGCACGAGGGTAATGCCAGACCATTTTTATATTACATTTATTGATTTGTATAGTGAGGAGGAGAGTTAAAGCACGAAGGTTGATGTCATGCCATTTACATATTATCATTTATTGATTTATATAGTGAGGATGAGAGTTAAAGCACGAAGGGTGATGTCGTGCCATTTAGATCATTTATTCATTATATTGTGACAAAGAAGAGAGTTAAAGCACGAAGGGTGATGTCGTGCCATTTAGATCATTTATTCATTATATTGTGACAAAGAAGAGAGTTAAAGCACGAAGGGTGATACCATACCATTTCATGTTACTTATTACATCATTTCATGGTAAGGATGAGGGTAAAAGCACGAAGGGTGGTGCCGTGCCATTTTTATTCTATCAACTACCTATCTTCATTGTTGATTATTTATTTGGCTACTACGTGATATTACTCCTACCGTAATTATCGTATCTCTTCCCTTTCGCATGTTCCCTCCCAATTTGTACATTTTTAATCGATGTGTTCGTTACTGCTTCGTATATGTATATACTTGTACAGGTTGCTTACGTAGGTGTTCTGTCATAGTCTCATCACTACTTCGTCGAGGTTAGGCTTGGCACTTACAGAGTACATGGGGTCGGTTGTACTCATACTACACTCTGTACTTCTTATACAAATTTTGGAGCCGGTCCCAGCGGTTGTCAATAGATTGCTCAGGTTGAATATTGGACGGAGACTTGAGGTATAACTGCTCGGCCTTCGCAACCTTGAAGTCCCCTTCTACTTTATCTTAGGTGTGTATTTCTTTTTGACAACTTTACTTTTATTCAGACCTTTATCTGTATTATTCTAGTGGCTCTTGCACTTGTGACACCGAATTTGGGGATGTATTAGATATTTAAGTTTTTATGGCTTTCCGCACTTTATTTTAGTAATTGACATCAGTTTAATTTAATTTGTTTAAAAGTAGCTTAAGACTATTCTAACGTTAGCTTGCCTAGCAAGTGCAATATTAGGCGCCATCACGATCCCGAGGGTTGGAATTTCGGGTTGTGACACCAATGCTCCGAGATCTTTGGGAGTTCTACACGTAGTCAAACTCTCGTGTGCTTGCAACACCTGACCAAGGACTCCATGAATCGTGTGACTCATATCTACCGGATATGCATATATTCTTGGGTAACAATCCTTATCGTATCAAGAGTCCTTCCCAGCAATATCTAACTGCAGCAACTTTTATTAGTTACCTAGGCCTCGCATAGCTTCACTGGAAATGAAGAGCTGTTTTGGAACAATCCTCCTTAATTAGTTACCTCATATAGCAAAGGTTTATATCTTATTTATTTTAAATAAATATACTTTTAAAAAATTATATTCCATAGCTACCTTTTGATTTTTATAGCCACATATCTATTTATAGTCATCTCCTACCTTTAAGCCATAAAATAAGCATTGTATTATTTTTCTCTCTCCCATCAAATTCTAATAACCACTAAACACCGAGGAAGATGAAGGGGGGAGGGGGAATATGTTGTGTCTAAAGTATTTTATCAGCAGGAGCAGATCAAGCAAGGTGAAAAAATTGAACAAGAATTGACTGAGGAGTTTGAATGTCTGGTTGCTAAAGTAGATCCACATACCCCAAAGTCTGTGACTTCTGACCCCCTCGTGGCAAGAGACTATTTTCAACTATGATTTCTATGCCTATATCGTGCGACGCCTCTAATTTCTAGTTGTGTGCTAGGGTTTTTCCATTCTTTTCATTTGTTCTAATGAGTTACAGGGATATTCAGTGAAGAGAAAGAGAGAGAGAAAGGCGAAAGAGTTGATGGTTTTTGCTCGACGGCGGATTCGCCGAAAATTAGGGTTTGTTCTTGAACAAAGACGACAGAGTTTGCTGTTAATATATTTCAATGTATTTTCAACGTATCACGCTGTATTTTCATGTATTTCATTATATTCATTGTCTTTTTTTCATTGTAATTCAATGTATCTCGCTGTATTCCATGTATTTCATTGTATTCACTATCTTTTTTTATTGTATTTCAATATATCCCGCTGTATTATATGTATTTTATTGTATTCACTGTCTCGCTATATGTCATGAATGCATTCATATATTTTTTTAATTAATATAATTAATGTATTCAGATGTATTATATAATTTTTCTGAAGACTGCTATGTTTTTGGGGTATTTTTCGGTTGAGAATCTTTTTTATAACTGGAAATACAAAATTCGTGTGTTATAATTGAGTTTGTTGAGTTATATTAGGAGTCTATTATGTTAATTGATTCACTTTCCGTTTAAAAACAGTGTAATTCCATGTTTCATGCCATAAATACAGTCGAATACACTTGAATACAACAACCGGTTAGTTGGACTTCCCTGATTCACGCCTATTTTTATTACTGTATTCACTTAAATACATCTAATACATCTTATAACAACAGAAAACGTATCTACAATCCGTAATATAGCAAATAATATCTATAAATAACTAATTATCACTAAAAATAGTATTTTATGTAAATTTCTCATTTCTTATTTACCTTTCCGCAAAGACTTCTCTAGGACTGAATCGTCCAGATCAATCCCTTTATTTAATGACTCTATATTTTCGTCCTTAATTTGAAGTTCCTTCAACTACCAAATAAATTATGATACACAGTTAGTTCAATTAGTTAGGTAGATATTAACACGTGTTAGATAATTTGTAACTTACATTAGTAGTTATGCCTAACTCATTCTTTGTACAAATACAGAACTTAATGTAAGTGCTAACAAGTGAATGAATATAGTCAACCGTAGCTTATCTTTTCCTTTCTTTTTTTTTTGGTCCAGAAGAAACTAATTATATTAAGTTAACAATTGCGTAGTACAAGGAGTTAAATTTAAGCCTTCAACAGTAGAGGAGCTATGGGGACGACCTCGTGATGGGTCGTGGCAAAAGGAGGAGAGGGGGTTTGTGCTAGTACTAGCTAAGTCTCTGAAATGCAGGGGCGGAGAAAAAGTGCGGGAAGCGGATTCGGCCAAATCCAATAGCTTTTGTTCAAACCATGTATTTGTCTTAAGATATTCATTGAATATGTATAATTTATTAATTTAAAACACAATAACTTAAAATGATTACAATCCCGAACCCATAAGGATCAAATCCTGACTCCGTCTCTGCTAAAATGTAAAAGAGGTATCATGTTGACGCGTGACATACTCAATAGGTGGTACAACGTGTCTAACAAAAAATGTTCTTAACTTATCTTCCTCCAAAGGCGTTTGTACAAAATTTGGAGGGGTTGCTTATCTTTTCCTTTCTCCACCCTTTTTCTTTCCATTTTGGTCAAGTATTTCGGGTAGAAACTTACGTCAAGCCAATAAATATAATATACATATTTTGTATATACATTTTTTAACACTTAACCATGATTAATTTCAAGAGGTTTTATTTTTCATGCGCTCAATCCACCAACTTCTAGAATTCAATCAGCAATTCTTGAAGTTTTGGCATCATATATTATTCGTCAATTATTGTAAAGGTTTATTATACATCCAAAACCAAAAGTGAGATGCCAACCCCCTCTCACCCCCCTCC